ACCAAACAAAATAATGTATTGTGCAGTGAAACACTTCCCTTTCTCATGACTGTGTCAAAATGTTGCGTACTATTAGATCAGTTACTTACTTCTATGTTAAAGCGACGAGGAGTCCTGTGGCACCTTTATAGACTAACTGAAGTGTAGGAGCATAAGCTTTCGTGGGCAAAGACCCACATATTTATTCCTGCCTCTGGAAATTTCCACTACATGCATCTGACGAAGTGGGTCTTTGCCCACGAAAGCTTATGCTCCTACACTTCAGTTAGTCTATAAGGTGCCACAGGACTCCTCGTTGCTTTTGCAGATTCAGACTAACACGGCTACCCCTCTGATACTTTACTTCTGTTGGTTGTCACATCTGAAAAGTCAATTAACAAAAGTGACTGACAACCAAAATCTAAAATTGCAAAGGAAAGTGATTGACAGATTTTACATCTAGCTGTATAGCACTGACTATGTATTGTAAAATAAAATATTTGTTCCTAGTCAGGCTTTTACATTACTGAAGTGTAGTCATTTCTGTATGTACCATGATTCTCACCTATGCTTAACATTTCTTTTGTCTCAGTATTTAGCTTGGAAGGTATTTTGCTACCGTCTCTTTCTAAATGTAGCATTTAAATGCTCCTTTTGATCTTGTGTTAAATCCATCTGGGGATCAAAATGCCTGCATCCTAGTTTTCCATGTCAGCTGCATATGGCTGGTGGTGGTTAGATTGAGTTAAACTCTATTTTTAAATGACACCATGACACCATACTGCCCTTTTTGTGTAGTGGAGTTTCACCAGTATTTATACTGTATCAAATATGAATTATTGACTGGCTTTAATCTATCTCATTCACCCCCCCCTTCCAAACATAAATTTTGGAAGAAAAAAAAAGTAGTCCACCAGCCATATTCTAGAAGCTTTTAACACATCTGTGTGTGACAGGACCTAGAGATTTATGCTTGCTGCTTTTGTGAGAGGGGTATGTGCGTGCGTGTGCGCGCTCCAGCATAACGTTTTAGTATCAATTCCCTTAATCTGTGTTAACTCTGTGAGAATGAAATGGCCTGTACATAGGAGGACTCCTATAACTGCATTTCTAATTAAGAATGGCATAGATTTTCTCCTCTCTAGATGTTACTTGGTAAGGTATACAAAGGTAATTTTTTGTCTTCCTTTGTGCTCTCAGGAATGTAGGTTGCAGTCTTTAACTAGCTGCCTCTTCCCTCCAGCTCTCTGCCCATCATGTGAACTCCCTTTCTCCATAATGATTATTACAGTAATGCATAGAGGCCTCTGCTGTGCATTGAGCATATACAGAGTTGAGGTAGAGCAGGGGTGGGCAGTAGCTTTCGATGTGGGGCCACTCCAAGATTTTGCAAAGTGGTCGAGGGCTGTACTCTTCTATGGAATTAATGGAGGAGGCGCAGGGTCTGGGATGGAGGTTGGGTGCAGAGGGGAGCTTGGCGTAAGAGATTGGGGGTGCAGGAGGGAGTTTGGGTGAAGGAGGTGGTTGTGACCTGGGGCACTGGACTGGAGTGCAGGGGTTTAGATTGTGACCTAGGGCAGGAAGGGGTTGTGACCTGGGGCAGGGGCCTGGGGTACAGGAGTGGGTGCAGGGGTTTGAGTTGTGACCCGGGGCAGGGGATTAGAGTGCAGGAGTTTGGGTGACCTGGGAGGGGATGAGGGGATATGCGTGCAAGAGGAGGGCAGAGGCTTTGGGTATGTGGAGTAGGGCGGCAGGAGCGGGTGTCAGAGAGTTGGGGAAGGGAGGGACTGTCAGCTGACGGTCAGGGCAGTGTGTGTGTGTGTCTCCTAAGTCGTTAACTGCTAACACATGAAGTCTCGTCGCAGCGGGCAGCCAGAAGGCTGAAAGGAGCCCCGAAAGTTTAACATCCGTGTCTTTACTGCTAGGACTGGGGTCCCGTCGCAGAGGGTGGCCAGCAGACCAACAGACGCGCCGGTTATATAGGAAGAGCTTATTATACCTTAGATTTTAGCTGCTAGAACACAGGGTTTCGTTTGCAGCGGGCAGCCTAGGAAAGGCTGAAAGGTGCCCCAATGGATCTTGTCACCTGGGAGTGACACAGATCCAAACGCCCAAGCTCTTCCTATGCCTGTCCCTTTATGACCAGCTGAAGTTCTTTTAAATTGTGCTTGGTTCTGTTACAGCAACTCAAGGAGTCAGGTTAAAGCTTAAACAGTTACAGGTTTATTAAAAGACTTATAAAAGCATATGGTTACAATGGCTATTGCTCTCTTTCTTAACTGTTAACAAATATATATATATATAGATCTTAAAAAGTGGTTACAGGAAAAAGGTAAAGATAGAAAATAGAAATAATGGTACCAAATGACAGCTTAATCTTTAAAGAGCTCTAACACTATGTATATATATACTTAAGCAAAGGACCACATCCAGGTACAATTTTTACCCCTTTCTGTGCCTCTCGACTCCAGTGTGTCAGGCCAGGGCCGGTCTCTCAGTTCCTAGGAAAGACGAATACAAGGTGGGAGTCCCCTCTGGAACCTCGGGAGATCAAATACCAAACCCGACCAGCAGATAGATGGTAGATTGACACTCAAAGAGAATGCGCTGCTGGACCTATCTTTATACCCCTGGGGGCCCGTATTCTCTTTCTTATCTAAGATGCCGAATTCTACCAGAAGATAGATGGTAGATTGACACTCAGAGAAAATGTGCTGCTGGACCCATCTTTATACCCCTGGGGGCCCGTATCCTCTTTCTTATCTAAGATGCCGAATTGTACTGGTCCGTTTTGTGGCGCTAGTTCTTAAAAGCAAGTTTCAAGTTAATTTACACTTGCAAGAGAGAGATAACTAAATTGTGCGTACTAGACGTTTTTTTTACTGGGAGAGAGATTCCTCCTCCCGCAAAAAGCTGTGTGTTCATATCAATATGGGTTAAGTCAAGGACACTCCTTGGCAGCCTCTTGGTCAGCAATTGGCGTATCTCTGTTTACAGCCATTCACAGTCACAGCAGCCTGGGCCTTCTGCTCTGTGTGCCCTGTATGCTCCAGGCAAGCAAAAATGGATGTTAAAAGGGGGGTTCCTGTCTGGTTACAGGGGCTGAAGTGCCAGAGGCAGGCTCTGGCCATGAGACTTACCTTGGTGACTACCAGACAGCAGCCCAGCAGTTTATCAGGAAGCCTTCCCCTCCCCCGCACAAGCTGTAGAGCCATGTGGTTGTGTGTTCTAAAACGTCTGGTGCTGGACACAGTTGGTCTGAGTCAGTATGCGGATTCGTAATTCTTGTGTTCCTGCAAGATTCTATGCATCTTTTGTGTATCTAGGAATAGTGTGTGTGATTAGGATGACTTAGACTGCTTTTGGCCTAAGAGTTGTTACTTGGAGTTGCATGAAAGCTAAGGTAGTATATGACCTGTATTCAGTAATGCCTGCTTTTTGCTAGCTTGAAAGGAGAGAGAGAGAGGTATGCATGAATGTCTCTTAAGACTTAAAATACAGGACTATGTAGCACTTTAAAGACTAACAAGATGGTTTATTAGATGATGAGCTTTCGTGGGCCAGACCCACTTCCTCAGATCAAATAGTGGAAGAAAATAGTCACAACCATATATACCAAAGGATACAATTAAAAAAAAAAGGAACACATATGAAAAGGACAAATCAAATTTCAGAACAGAAGGGGGATGGGAGGAGGGGAAAGGTAAATGTCTGTGAGCTAATGATATTAGAGGTGATAATTGGGGAAGCTATCTTTGTACAGTAGACTTCCAATAATCCGGAACCTATGGGACCTAGGTGGTGCCGGATTATCAGATATGCCAGACTATCAGGAGGTACTATGAACTGGTGATATATTTACTGTATACATTATATACTGTATATAAAGTGTTCTTAACCCTTTTTATTGTACATACTGTATACAGTATACTGTAATGTTTTAGTTTTTTAAAGCCTTTTTTATCCTTTTTGCTCAGTTCAGCTGCTGCTGCTGTTACCTTGTGACTCATTTATTGCCGAAGCTCACTCACTAGGCTCTTGCCATTTTGATGCCGGACTATCAGGAGTGCCGGACTATTGGATGCCGGACTATTGGAGTTTTACTGTAATGGGTAAGATAACTAGATCCTTTGTTGAGACTCAGGTGTAAAGTGTTGAATTTTAGCATGAATAACAGTTCAGAGGATATTCATGCTAAAATTCGACACTTTACACCTGAGTCTCAACAAAGAATCTAGTTATCTTACCCATTACAAAGATAGCTTCCCCAATTATCACCTCTAATATCATTAGCTCATAGACATTTATCTTTCTCCCTCTCCCATCCCCCTTCTGTTCTGAAATTTGATTTGTCCTTTTCATATGTGTTCATTTTTTTAATTGTATCCTTTGGTATATATGGTTGTGACTATTTTCTTCCACTATTTGATCTGAGGAAGTGGGTCTGGCCCACAAAAGCTCATCATCTAATAAACCATCTTGTTAGTCTTTAAAGTGCTACATAGTCCTGTATTTTGTTTCAGCTACACCAGACTAACACGGCTACATTTCTATCGCTTAAGACTTAAGGCTTCTGTATCATGCTGACTAAAATTTAAAGTTTCCGTGAAGTACAAGGTTGGGGTGTGGGTTTTTTAATCCTCGCGATCAACTCGAGTGCTGAATTATTTAAACTTTGCTAGGCTAAGCATATACTTATCTTACAATAAGACCCTGGATTTCTAGGGAGGGCAAGGTTTTTATAGGAAGAGACAGTTCACTCTGTATTACTTTTAAAAAAATGACCCTTTTTTGATTTGTCAAGTGCTTACTAATGAATCCCCTCTATTGAAAGATTTGGGGAGTCAGGATGGTACATTTTCTTATTGCAGAAATACATTACAGTATTATGTCAACTCAACAATGTTAAATTTTAAATAAACATGACTTGAATAATATGCTTCATGGCAAATTTTGTAAACAATATTTCCCTACCTCATTTATAATCCTCCTATACTTACTGAAGTTATACTTTATTCCAGAGAAATGGCAGATGAAAATATATTCCAGAGTCTCCTGAAAATCTTGACTAAAGCTTCAAGTGAAATAGAATTGGTCTGCAAGGATTCCACAGAATTGATAACTCTAGATACATGTCAGCTGTTTATAGCAGAATGTTTCAGATGTCTACGGAATGCATGTGTTCAGTGTGCCAAGAACCAAGATATTATGAGGTATAGTTATGATCCTTATTTGTATTCCTTTTGCAGAATTTTAAATTATATCTTGGTACTTATATAATCTTTTATTTTACTCTGCTGTATTCTTGTTTGACTTCTAACCTGATATTTCCCACTCAACACAATCCTTTTTAGGAAAATATTTAGATTCTGTATTGTTACAGAACTACTTGCTGATAAGTATTTTGAAATGAATTTCCAAAATAATAGAAACTGGCATGATATAGTTTATTTTGACAAAATTTGCAAAATTTTAAAATACTGTTTGCAGAAAATTTTAACTTTTTTGGGGGGGGGGGGGGGGGAAGAGAAGACAGTGTAAGGGCACCTTTACCAGTAGCGATGATTCGTAGAGGTCTATTTTGTCTTTGGCACACGCCCCATTTATATAGCAGCATATGTATCCTTCTGCTCTTTAAGGCTGTCTCTAGACTACACTCCTCTGCTGACAGAGGGTTGTAGATTAGGCACTTCGAAAGTGCAAATGAGTCCAGGATTTAAATATCCCGGGCTTCATTTGCATACTCACATTTGGGTGCTGTGCCGATCACGCACCCTTTCGAAAGTGAAGGTAAAGTGTAGCTGCGGCTCTGCTTGAATCTAAATTCACTGTGACTACTGCTGTAATAGAAGAAGTGTGCTCAAAAAAAAAAAAAAAAAAAACCACCAGAGACTGGATAAGTTATTGCTAGTCAGAAATTTTTGGCTTCTAACAGTGATCTCAACTCCTGCTCCTCCTCCTTCCCCTTCCCCTCTAATCACAATAGTATCCTGGGTGCAGGAGGCAGGTTAAGATGAAATATATGTGATCCATGGGAGATGAAGAGCTTATTAGTCCAAGTTCTCTGCCTATTCAGAGTATTGGGGAGCACATGTGGACTGCTAAGGTAGATGTCCCTGGTGGGTCAGAAGGGAAGGAGCACACAGTCAGATGAGCTCTTGTTGCTTTATTTTTAGCCAGTGTAACGGGTTTGTTTTTAAAGGAGCAGTTGAGGGCACAGTGGGCTTGTGTGTCCCATTGCTCATGAATGACCTTCCAAGTTCTCTGCCTATTCAGAGTATTGGGGAGCACATGTGGACTGCTAAGGTAGATGTCCCTGGTGGGTCAGAAGGGAAGGAGCACACAGTCAGATGAGCTCTTGTTGCTTTATTTTTAGCCAGTGTAACGGGTTTGTTTTTAAAGGAGCAGTTGAGGGCACAGTGGGCTTGTGTGTCCCATTGCTCATGAATGACCTTTGGGTTGGGACACATGAGTATAATGGTAAAAGTTGTAATGCAGCAAATAGCAATACAAAAAGGTTAATTGCACATATTCATTTTTTAAAAGTAAATTAATGATCGTGGATTTTTAAAGATAAAGTGCCTCCTATTTTAAGTGCATCTAGCACGGTGGTATCTTGGTCCATAATAATTAGTCATTGAAGGTGCTACAAATAATAAATACGTCCTGTTGTTTTAGTGGTAGTGCAGCGACTGTAGACAAATGAAGTAGCTATTGTGTAACTGAAGCCAGTTCACGAACAGTCTGTGATTATTTTTAGAACTTTTCTTATTAAATGAGGAAATGTGAGCCATGGAACTGGGATATCTCTTAATGCAGGTTTCTCAAACTTAGTGATACTGTGACCCCTTTCTAAGTTGCTCACGACCCCCTCGGGGGCTCGGGACTCAGTTTGAGAAACGTGGTCTTAATGTGTTTGGGAAATGAAACAAGATGTCTCATATCCAGCTGAAGAAATTCTAGATATTAACAGAGCAGACTGATCTGAAAGACAGCATCTCTAAGCATACTGAGCCCCACTCTATCCCAGTTACGTACCTGATGAACTGACATCTACCCAGCATGCATTGGGTGGGTATAAAAACCCAAATCCTTGTGAGAACCATAATAGTTAGCATTTTCATGTTCATCTCAGATCTGGTTATGATAATGGTCTGGAATAAAAAAATAACTTCGTAAAGTGTCGGACTCATGCCTCTCTCCTCCTCTTCTTTCTCCCTTACCCCATATGACTTTACCTGTGGTGCTTGCTTCTGCATCTACTGGAGTCAGATGAAGGGCTTCAGTGAGATTAGGACCAACCTGCAGTATTTTGTGATGTAACCCCATACCATCTTTTTTTCCTTAATATGTTTAAAGTTAACCTTCCTCTTTGTTTTAACTAAACAACAGGAATTTGGGTCTGATTGAAGTGTCAGTCCACTTGATGCAGTTGCGTCATGGATTAGAAGTTCAACAGGAATCATTACTGGCAGGTAAGAAAGTATAAATTTTGGTAAATGTGTCACTTAATTTTTTGAAAATTATTAAATTTCTTGGTGGCAGTTTTAATAAATTGTAACATTGTTATCAAATCAGCTTTTTAAGTTTTCTTCGATAAATAAGCTAAATGATTATTCACTTGAACTTGGCATGCTAACCTTCTTTCTTAATTTGTATTTTTTTTAAAAAGCTTAAGAATAGTGTGTGTCTTGTGTAAGTATATATCAAATATAATATAGCTGGTACTTTAAAAGTGACCTTAAAATATTTGGTGTTTTACACCTTCAGGCCAAGATGAATTATTTCAATTTCCTGTTGATTTCTTGCCCAGTTTCACCTCTCTTCTATTTGTTGCTGTGGCGAGGGAAGGATTAGTGAGACTAGCAGGAGTCTGTGTGGTGGAAGCAGTACTGTATCCCCCATTCCTATGTGTGGAGTATAGGAGGAACCCGGGAGGGAGAACCTGTCACAGAATGCAGAAGGGAGGAGACGACCCTTCTTGGATATGAACCTCCAATTTCTTAGGCCAGGGATAGAGCAGAACTGAAGGAAGGAGTGACACACAAATCATTAGGTGCTTGAAACCTGGTAAGGAGGGATAGAGGCCCATAGACTCTATCCCAAGTAATAGAGAGTGATTAAGACCAAAGGGTTGACCTTGGGGGAGCACTCACCACCTTTTAGCCCTTCAGAGAAACAAGGAGAATAGTGTGCTTAAAGAAACAAAGAGGACCATCCTTTCAGGATTGGGGATCAGGTGAGGGAGTGTGTGTGGTGTGTGGTTTTTTTTTCTTTTTTTTGCTCTTAAGGTTACCTTGCTCATAAAAAAAAAAAATATAAATGTTGGGAGGGCTCTCACTGTAGTGTAGCGGCCACTAAGCCTAGCTCTTAGTGTTCTGTGCTGTTACTTAGTTCTGATTTACCCCTAAATGTCCTCTAACAGCCCAGTAAGCAGAGGAAGTGTTGGTAGTGCTGCTAGACAATATTGATCTCCCATGGACTAGAAAATTCTCTGGTTCAGAAATGGTTAGGCCCTGAGGATGCAGACTAGAGAAGTTCAACCTGTACTAAACCTCAGACACATAATGCAAAATACTTATGTAACATTGATTAATCTGAAAACTGCTCTTTTGGGTGTGTGGGGGGGTAGAAGGGGGAGGAGGGGAGTGATGATTAAGTACTGCACTAGAATTAGCCCAGAAAAGATTTGTCCATTAAAAGTAATGAGAGATGAGAACAAGTTTCTTTAACCCTTAGAACAATGGCATTTTCCAGGCTGTTGATTAGGTGAAAATTGAAGATACTGTGTACAAATGTTAAGTTTCCAAAAAAGAATGAAATACAAGTAGAATGTGTTTACAAAACCAGGATTTATGCTGCATTCTTCTAGTTGGATTAAACATAAACCTACATCATTTTACCATAATACTCTTTGTGTTCCCTATCTTTATTACATGTTTGCTAATTATCAAATATATGTTTCTCCCTATTGGTCATCTTCTCATATTTCATATCTGAAAAAATGTCCTGGGGCCAGATTTATAAAGGTACTTAAGGGCATAAAAATGCAGCTTGGTAGTTAGTGGGATTTTCAGAGGTTAGCAGATTAGGTATCTAAATCCATTAAAATAAATGTTTGCAGTTGAAAATCCTACTCGCACCTTTCTGCATCTTTAATGTGCTTTTGTGCCATTTGAAAATCTGGCCTTAGATGTTGTTTTTAGCAACATTTCCTTCAGAAAATCTAAATGCTTATCTAAACAGTTTGTTGTAAGATGGGGTGTGACTCTCCTGTCTATGTGGAGCCTACTGACTTGCACCAAAAGTTCCTTAGTGTACTTTAATGTAGCCTTCTTTAAAATAGTAGTTCATTAAAGCCCACAAAGGAACGTTTTAGTGTGTTTCAGTAGGGTCTACCAGGATTATGACTGCGTGGTAGGTTAGTGCGCTCTAGATTTACACCTCAGCTAGTTGCAAATGTAGTGTGTGTAAAGACCAGCCCTGAGACCTTGCAGGATGAATAATATTATATAATTAGTGCTTTTTCTTGAGCTGATTCTACTGTAAAATATTCCTAAATCAATATCAAGAAGCTTAAATAATTTTTAGCAATTGAAAAAGTCTGTTTTAAATAATCAGCCTTGTTATATGTTTGCGCTCCAATTTCATCCAGTGGTATCTATTTTAAGTCTTTCACTGTGGTATGGCAATATTAGTAGGAAAATTCAGAATATACTATAATTTGTAATGGATAAAAAACACTGAAGTTATATATGCATGCAAGTACTATACCAATTCGGTTGGTTTGTGAGGAAAAGGGAGATGGGGAGGAAAAAGCTTGTTTTAATGAAGTATTAATTAATAAGCCATCAAAAAGAGGAAATGCCATATTAAATGCTTGTGTTAAACTCTGGTTAAGTGAAACCCATATTTGCTTTGAATTATCTCAACAACGTGAATATTAACAATTTTCCTTTTTTAAAGTGTGCAGCGCTTTTTACGTAGGGGTCATAGTGAGATTCCACAGGCATCATTCAGATGAAAGCATTGTCTCTTTTTGATGTATCACTCGTGTATCCTGTGAGTTGCCAAATATTCTGGGTCTTTAAGGAGCAGTGTTTTTCAGTTCCTTTCCTTGAGCAAAAACAGATAGCAATATTCTTCTGCCTTTTAATCTATCCTTTGCACCAAGTAGATAGATACAACTATTGGAGAAAACAGTATCTGTGTAGTCATGTTCTTAGTTCTCTTAAATGGCCATCTTCATAATCTGTGCTGCTGATGTAACAGATATTCTAGAAGGGCTTTGGGGATGTTCAGTTGATCAGAAAACTTATTCTCCAACGGCCCATAGAATCTTGTTTGGTGCAGTTCTTAAAATGAAAAGATCTAGTTAATTCATACACACTGCTTTTGGAAATGGTAAAGACCTGTTGGGCTACCCAACCCCAGTTATTACTTATCTATTCCACTAAGAATTTCCAGGCACGTCCAGTCTACTTCAAAAAAAAAAATGTTTAGCAGGCTTTTATGTATACACACCAGCTTTCATGACTTCCCTTCAGAGACCTTCTACAGATTTCTAAATAAATGTTGCAAACTTTTCCCTTTGTTTGTGCTATTTGTTGTATTTAGACGTCTATACTCCAATTCCCTCTCCTCTGACACTTACTGAAGTGTGTAACAGAGTCAGAATATCTGAAGAAATGGATTGTGCCCACAAAAGCTCATGATACTGTCTACATTTTTTTTGTTAGTTTCTAAGGTGCTGCAGGCCTGTTTGTTGTTTTTTTTTTTTAAAGAGTCAGAACAGTTTATTGTGCAGAACTTGGAAAAGTCTGGGTCGCTGCTCTGAGGAGAGTATATGCTAAGATGACAAACTTGGGTATAAAAACTAGATAAGCACAAGGTGTTGATACATAATTGTGCTACATTTATGTTCTTGATTTGCTTAATCAGTTGCTTTAATAATAAGTCATAGCACTTCAGCTGATACATAGAAATGTTTAAAGTAGCAAATGTTAAGATGGCAGTTCCCACTGAAATAGAGAACTTTAAATTAAACCGAGTAAAGATAGCTGCAGGGATTTTTGCATTTGTTTAACTAAGGCTTTAGTCATTGGAGTGTCAGTATAGAAACTATTCTAGATTTATCAGCTCCTCTGAATCCAAGCAGTTGCCTGTAAGGGAGTCGAAAATCCTAGTTCTGTCTTAAAGTTCTGCTACAGTTTTGGACGGCTATAGATTATAGAAGAGGACGGAATCCTTTGTTGCTACTGAGTTCCCTTCGTCTGGCATGAGAGACCATACGTAAGTGGAGAGCCATACAACAAGTACTTGAAAGAGAAAGTAGATGTTACTTACCAGTAACTGTAGTTGTTACAATAGACAGTATGGATGAGTCTCTCTTTTTGCAGTGCGTGTGCTCTTGATACCCAAACTAGGGATGTGTAAACCACCCAGAATAGTTGACCGATGAAACAAATAGTTAAATCAGTTAACTGCCTTTGGCGAGGGCTGCCCCAGGTGCATTGTGGCTCTGCTAGCTGGGCCAGTCATGCAGGGGAAGGAGGGGAAGTTTTAGCTAACCTGTTTAACATCCCTAACTCAAACTGATAACTGAATAGTACAGGCACCTCTAGATACATACCATCTCACAGATTGAATGTCCTGAATAAGGACTAAGGGCCCAAGAACATGGTCTGAAGAAAGATTCTCTTACCTGGTCTTGCCACCATAAGCTTTGAAAACCGTAAGAAGTATGCACGCATTAGTGGAAGGTCTTTTAACATCTCTATAGAGTGGATTGGCTTTGTCTCGTGATGTCTGCCGTATACAGGAATACTAATGAGACAGGCTGGTCCGTGGCAGCAGTCCCTTGCGCAGGGTTGGGGGGGCGGGTGTTTGAGCTTCCTGTGCTTTGCCTCCCATGGAGCCAACTCTATCCACGATAAGCCTGTGGTTGCTGCCAGACCAGTCTCTGTTCGTGTCTAGCCTGGGCTATCATGAACAGAGACTGCTTTGTGGCAGAGCCTCCCTTCAGCCTTTTTCCCACCCTTCCCACAGCAGCTTCTATCTGTGGGGAGATCAGACCCCTGCAGACAGTGCTGCTTCCTCCGTATCCGAGGCAGCAGCGCAGGGTGGCAGGCAGCCAGTCTGCGTGAGGAGCTGGTTTTTAAACTGTCTCCCTTCGCAGACTGGCTCCCACCTGTCACCCCGCACTCCTGCCTCTGATGCAGCTTGCTGGCCCCGCCCACAAGGACTATTGAATAGTTGTCTGATAAGATTTCATGTGGTTACACGACTTTTCATTTACACTATGTCTAACATCCCTACTTTATTCTGCTTTCCTGAATATATGGGAGAGAGAGAGGGAGATTTTATGGCCTTAAACTGAGATCTGGGTTTTTCTCTTTCCATATAAACAGCAAGTATCTCCCCATATGACTGTGTGGCTTTTAAGTATTTGATTGTAGTGCAAGTACCAGTAAAA